TGGAATTTTACAGTCTTGGCTTTTAGGAAAATATTACATTTATCTGTGGATATCAAGGGCTCATGTTTGGAATTAAATAAAAAACATAACTGAACACTAAGATGAAAAACAATTTGCTATGCCTGCCAGATAACTAGAATCTGTTCCTCAGAGCCTGCAGCCTGCAACACTCGGACCCTGTGGGCCTCGAACTTCTGACCAGCTTTACATGGTCTACAACATTTACCTTCTCCCCTTTTGAACAAAATTCTTCTATAGACTCTCAAAGCACAATATTCTGTAATGGTAGCTGTGAAGTATCCAATTCTACTGCTCTCATAGCTTACAAGGTAGATGTTCCTCATGGCAACCTCTTCTTCTGTGATTTCTTTAAAAGTCCATTTCTTTCTAGGAGAATGTAAGTCATTCATAGTATCTTAACAGTTGCATTTTTTGCTTTTGGTTCTATGCCTGCAGTCTCATTTTATGCTTTCTTGGTGTGGTACTGTAGGATCAGAACTAGACTGCAAACCACAGGTCAGCGGTTCAAATCCACCGACTGCTCTTTGGAAACTCAATACAGGGTTGTTATGAGTAGTAACTGATTTGACGGCACTCAACAACAACCATTTATCATGTTTGGGTCCTGGTGTGGCACCCTCTTCCCCCTTTCCTTTTCATTTCTTCCTTTGATTTGGCTTTCATTTTTCTGGAACATGCTCTAGTACATTTCAGAAAAGGTGTCTGGGCAGTGTGTATAATGTCTTTGTTTTGTTTCTCCAGAGCCACGTGTCCCCTCTCCTCCCAGCTCCGCCGAGGCTGGTCTGTGTGAGTCTTCAATGGGCCCCTCCTGTCCAGAGACTCTGATCCATGTGGTTTGCCCATATTCTCCCCTCAGGTGTGTAACAGTCCCTTGGGAAACTCCTCAAAGCACCCCAATTTGAAGATGTCATCTGTTGTCTGTTGTGACCTACAGGCGCTGATACTTAATGAAAATCAGCCTCTCTTGGCACCGCATCCTCCTTTTTCATCTTTTATCCGAGTGTTTCTCCTTCAGTTTTCACATAGTTATGATCAAATTAAGGAGCTCTGGTAGCGTAGTGGTTACGATTCGGGCTGTGAACTGCAAGGTCAGCAGTTTGAAACTACCAGCTCTTCTGCGAGAGAAAGATGAGGCTTTCTGCTCCCTTAAAGATTTACAGCCTCGGAAACCCTGTACAGGGTTGCTGTGAGTTGGAACCGACTCCCCAGCACATAACAACAACTACAGCAATATCAAATCGAATCTACAACTTTTGAACACATACGAATTTTCAGGTCCACCACTGAATTCTGTGCTGAGAGTCAACAAGGAATCGGGTGGGCCGGAGCTCACACTGGGCACTGGATGGGGCCAAGCTCCACCTCTTCAGACCTCAGAGTGTGCATCATCTAACGGGTGCTGGGGATGCCCAGGACCAGAGCGCTCCCTGAGGATCTGACTGGGTGCAGAGATGCTGTTCTGTTTACAGCACCACGAGAGGGAGGGGGAGCTTTAGCAAACATGCATTTATTTTCTCACAGTTCAGGTGGGTGCAAGTCTGAATTCAGGGTTTGGCTCTGGGGGAAGGCTGTCTTTCTCTGTCAGCTCACGGGGGAAGGTCTTTGTCTCATCTCATCTTCTCCTCCTTGACTCCTTGGTGAAGTTGTTGTGGCATTGCTCTCCCTCAACCTCTGCTTACTTGTTCAGTCTTGCTCTATTTTATGTCAAAAGAGAATAACTTAAGACACACCCTCCATGAATACACCATCTCATGAAAGAAACAAAGAAAACTCTATTTCCAAGTGGGATTATAAGCACAGGTATAGTGGGATCCACAACACAATGCAGTCCATAGTGGATGGTCTGGGGTGTCCCCAGGGTCAGTGGTAGTCAGGTTAATAGGCTCTGGACTTGGTCTCCATATCTCTACTTGTCCAGTCTCCTGGGTGGGATTGGAAGGCTGTATGACCAACCACAACCACCAGGAGTTTGTGTCCTTTCAGCCTGCAGCAGGTTGGTGAAGGAGAACGGGGTAGCTGTTGTTGTAAGGCCTACTTAGACACAGAATACAATGTAACTGATCATCACAAAGTCCTCCCAACTGTGAGACCTTGAAGGTTTCTCCCCTAACCTTTTCACAATTTTCTCCTAGGGCCTGGGACGGAAGAAGATTGCCACAGAAAAAAGACAACACATTTCAAGAAATTTCAATCTTTGGGCATGTGACTATATTCCATCTTGTCTTGATGGTTTTTCAAATAACCAGATATCCTACGTCTATAAGGAAGCCGTGGTGGTTCCGTTTTTCAGGCGTTTCCCACGACATCATGGTGACAAATGGAACACTTTAAAGCTCATTCCTGAGAGAAATTATACAGACTTTTTGAAAAAGAAACCCAACGTAAGATTTGCTTTTGACAGAAAGTCTACTTCTCCACAAGAGGAACCTTGATCTTTCCACAAGTTTGTTGATGACTTTTGTGACATTGGTGTTTCATCGGACATTCTAAAAGTGTGTGCCTTCAGATCCAGCATGGCCAATTCTCATGCATTTGTTTTAGAATTAGAGATGAACAATCATATATCCTCTGTCACTGAGGTGACACTTTCTTACAGTGACAACATACAGGTTAAAGTCTTTCAACTGGGAAACTGGAAAGGCACCTTATCAAGTCACCAGGCAGTGACTTTAAAATATTTTTATGATTTAAAAATAAAATCATAAAAATTTCATTGAGATTGAGAAACGTTCAATTCCTTATAAAATATATGTACATGTGTAAATAAACAATATCACCACATGTACTTTCAGGGGAGCTATAAAACGACATCTTTCATGTATGGTTACATCTTCATTTTAACATGTCAAAAATTAGGAAGTACAAGACCCCCTGGTATAGCAGCTTACAGTTTGGTTTTCCTTGTACATTTACAATCAGATACATGTGCATACATCTATGAAATTTTAAACTTACAAAATGATACACAAGGCACAAATTCTACCACTTTCTTTTTATGTTTAATTATGTATCTTGGAGTTTTTGCAATGCCGATGTGAATAGATTAATTTTTTTGAAAGCTGCTGCATTTTATTCCCTAGTAGCAGGTTTTTCTACTTAAAAACAAACTGTTGTTGTTGTTGTTGTGCCATGGAGCCGGTTCTGACTCATAGCGACCCTGTACAGGGTTTCCGAGGCTGTCAATCTTTATGGGAGCAGAACGCCTCATCTTTCTTCTATGGAACAGCTGGTAGTTTCGAACTGCTGACCTTGAGGTTCACAGCCCAATTCGTAACCACTACGCTACCAGAGCTCTTATCTTCTTATTAAATGGACATCTGAACTGGTTCTAATGTTTGCTGTCGGGCATGATGCTACATCAATACACGACTTACTTCTTTAAAGTAGGCTCTGAAATGGTTCCTTGTTCATGCTCGATTGCATGGTAGGTTCATGTTAAGTTTTAATAAAGAAACAAATGACATATAATAGTTATATAAATAACAAATCACCTTTGAAGAAGACCGAACCAAATTATGAAATTGTATTCCCACCAACAGTGCCTGTGAATTTCTGTCTCTCCACCTTCGCATTATTATTTAAGGACAAAAATAGGCAGCCATGGTGGTACCTAACGGTTGGCTGTTCAAATCTACCCAGTGGCTCCGCAGAAGAGAAACCTGGTAAACGTCATCTATAAAAAGGTTCCAGCCAAGAAAACTCTATGAAGCAGTTATATTGTGTGACACATAGGGTGGCCGTAAGTCTGAATCTATTTGACAACAGCTGGTATGGACAAAAAGTGCCGTCCTTTTGCATGTCTCTGATAATTTATGAAGTTCAACGGCTATTTTATATTTCCCTCTCTGAATTGAATAATGCCTTTATTACACTTTGGGCATATTATCAGGAGGGACCAGTCCCTGGAGAAGGACATCATACTTGGTAAAGTGGAGGGTCCGTGAAAAAGAGGAAGACCCCCAACAAGATGGACTGGCACAGTGGCAGCAGCAATGCGCTCAAGCGTAACAACAATTGTGAAGTTGGTGCAGAACCAGGCAGTGTTTCATTCTATTGTGCATACGGCCTCTATGAGTCAGAACCTACTCGACAGCACCTAACAACAAGAATTATCATCCTACCATTTTGCTTGGATCCCCCATAGTATGAAAAAATGACAGATGGTTTAAATACTGCAGGGTCATCTATAATAAACAAGTTACAGCTGAGTTTCCAGACTAAGACAGACTAGGAAGAAGGAGAGATGGACTACTTCCAAATATTTAGTCATGAAACACCTTATGAATAGCAGTAGGACACTGTCAGA